CCGGAAGGGTCATTGACAACTAGGAAAACCAGAGAGTAGACAAAGAAGCTGAAAGGGTCGTTGACAACGAGGAAAACCAGAGAGTAGGGTCCTTGCCTACTATAGTTCAGCGACCTCGGCTACTCTACTTACTGTAATGGTGGGTGCACCAGATGTGAGAATCTAGCCACCCAAGGAAGGGATGATTTTACTAAGACAACACACTGTCTTAGGAAACAGAGCCAAAGGGTGTAGCTTAGACTATTCCACAACGCAGCAATCAGGTGTATGATGTAGTGGAGTGGTTTAGACAAGTTGTACAAATGTTGAGTCTGCCACAAGGATAGAGTCATAAGGGGTAGCACCCCCTTTTGGGATAGAAGGAGGCAACTTGACTATAAAGTCAATGGATATGGAGTCCCATGGGCGTTCTGGTATAGGTAGAGGCTGCAAGAGGCCGTAGGGCTTTTGCTGTGTAGGTTTGTTCAAGTTGCAAGTAGTGCAAGAAGATATATAGTCTTGAAGAGTAGTCCTTAGATGAGTTCCAGTATACGGACACCAGTGTCTGAATACTAAGCGAACGACATCGCGGACACCCCTGGATTTGTAAGTGGTTATATAAGTAAACCCCAACTACCAAACCGCTCCAACAACCCCGGAATCATAAAACGGGCCAAATTGATAAAGTGATTCATAGTAAGAATACCCCTCTTTCTACTTGCCTTATTCCTCTTCGTACTTTTCCTTTCTTCTTATAATATCAACTTCTTCAACTCCTACTTCAACTATCACCAATTACAATGTCTTCCTACCTTACTACAACTGCCTCTCCCTGAAGTCAACTTTGTCTTGGCTGAGTTTAACATCCCTGAATGTCATGTTCACCCCCGGGTAGTTGAATTCAATGACAAGGCAGATAACACCAAGAAGATGGCTACCTACACCAACAGAATGAAGGCAGCTAGCTATGACCAACAGACCATTCAAATGTTGGTTAAGGAATCCCTGGAAGGTGATACCATTTCTGAAGGAGTGAAGGGGATGAGGCAGAAGGGTGCTGTTGTTCTGTTGAGTGGTGATTGGGAGAGGAATGTGGGAAACTCGGCTTCTCCTGATGAGAAGAAGCTCCATGTCCAGCTTCTCTTCTTGAAAGAGAGAAAAGTAAGTCATTTATCTTAACTTCTTTATAATACTAATATAGAATAGGTCTCAAAATGGACCAAGCAAAGGTCACAGCAGTGTTGGAATGGCCAACACCAACCATGGTCAAAGAAGTACAAGCCTTCTTAGGCTTTGCCAACTTCTACCGGAGGTTTATTATGGGATATTCCAAGGTAGCTCAACCACTCACAGAGCTTACAAGGAAAGACCTTACATTCAAATAGACAAGCAAGGCAGAGGCTGCTTTTCAGGAACTTAAGACGAAGTTCACAGAAGCATCTATCCTAGTCACATTCGACCCTGCAAAGAGGATTGTCCTCGAAACGGTCTCCTCTGACTTCGCGATTGGAGCCTATCTAAGTCAGCCACACAAAGACAAGAAGCTTAAGCCAGTTGCATATTACTCTAGAAAACTGTCACCCGCGGAGCTCAACTACGACATCCACGACAAGGAGCTAATAGCTATTGTCATTGCTTTTGAGCAATAGCGAGTATATCTTGAGGGATCAACCTACCCTGTGCAGGTATGGACGGATCATAAGAATCTCATATACTTCACCACAACCAAGGTTCTAAACCGCAGACAAGTCCGATGGGCAGAGACACTCGCAGCCTACAACTTCATGATTACATATCGCAAGGGCTCTGAGAACGCAAGAGCCGACACTCTTAGCAGAAGGACCGACTACATCGGCCCTAAAGAAGAAAGACCTGGAGCTATATTGAAGAAGACAGACGCAGGAATGAAATACAATGAGTTGCTAGACACTATTGCCACTGTGGAGAACTCGGAGTTGGAGAAAAGACTCAAGAAAGCTTATGCAACAGACGAATGTGCAAAGCGAGTCTTAATAAAAACTGAAGGCGACTTCGCTATCGATGAACAAGGATTGATCCGATTCAAAGGATTAGTGTATGTCCCAAACAAAATGAGACGCCCGCTAGTGCAAGAACAACACTCGCTACCAGGACACGGCCATCAGGGAGTAACACGCACCTTCGAACGAATCACCCGACACTACTACTTCCCAGGTATGAGGAAGAAGGTGGGAACGGTAGTAAGAGAGTGCGACATTTGCAGCAAATCAAAATCCAATAGGTACTTGCCATATGGACAGCTGAAATCTACTCCAGTACCAACAGGAGCGTGGAAATCTATAGCTTTGGACTTCATTGTCAAGCTACCACCCTCTCGGGACCCGTTAACAGGAGTAGTATTTGATGCCATCCTGGTTATTACGGAAAGACTCACAAAATATGGAATTTTTGTGCCATATTTAGAAGCTAGCGATGCTGAAGCACTCGCATACACCTTCCTTCGAGTCATACTAGCCGATCACGGATTACCAGAAGAAATCATCTCGGACAGAGACAAGCTTTTTACATTGAAATTTTGGAAATCTTTAATGGCACTTTTGGGAACAAATCATAAGCTATCAACAGCTTTCCATCCCCAAACAGACAGTCAAACAGAAAGACTGAATCAAACCCTTGAACAATACCTACGGAGTTATGTCAACCACCAACAAGACAATTGGGTTCAGATATTACCCATCGCACAGTTCGCATATAACAGCGTGATGACTGAAGCAACAAAAGTCTCACCGTTCTTTGCCAATTACGGCTATCAGCCAGAGGCATATAGACAACCACAACCAGATGAATCAAGAGCAGAACAAGCTATGATCGCCATGGAACAACTCAAATCGTTCCATGAACAACTTGCGACAGACATCCAATTCTTAAATGAACGATCTGCCGCATATGCAAACAAGAAGCGCAGTATGGAACCTGCCTTCAAGGAGGGGGATAAAGTATATCTACTCCGGAAACACATCAAAACAAAATGACCAAGTACGAAGTTGGACTTCAAGAAATTGGGACCATTCAAAATATTGAATAAAGTCAGCTCAGTTAATTACAGACTGCAGCTACCCAAGAAGTCTAGACTACACCCGGTATTTCATGTCTTACTATTGTAACCAGCAAGAGGAAACACCCCGATTGCGACCGATACAGAACTACAACCAGAAAATGAGATCATTGAATATGAAGTCGAAGCGATCCTAGTAGGATGCAAAGAAGAGTTTTTGATCAAATGGAAAGGTTATGAACCTACGGACAATTCATGGGAAACGGTAGGAAACCTTAGCTGTCCAGAGCTGCTGGAGGCATTTCACCGTCGACACCCCAACGTTCAAAGAAGCCAGGAGACAGGACTGCGAAGAAGTCCTGGTCAGGGGCTACGCCCTCAGAGACAGTAGTGGGAGGGGTGTGCAAGAGAGTCCCTTTGGCCTCTGCCTCCCTACGCTCCTTTTCCTCCACTTCATCTAGCTCGTCCATGGTTTTTAGACCATGACGAAGCATGTCCTTAGCACGGAAACGAAACAAGCACTGTTGTTGACGAAGTCAAAGGATCTTGGCCATCGCTGCCTCCTCCTCTGCTTGCAAATGATGCTCCTCACGTTCTATCTTGTCCCAGTCGCTAATAGAAGGACCACAAGCATCACACCGTGCATTGACGCGAATACATTCACTACAGCGTTTCGAATCGTCAGAAACAACACACTTCAAGTGTTTCTTTTCGCAACGGTTACAAGAAGGCATCTCGAAGCCAGTAGCCAATATCCTTTGGGAAAGAGCAAGACGTTCTTTTATTTTGGTATGTTTGGAAGAAGACATGGTTAAAGCCTGACTGTCTATGGACAGTGGTGGGCGCCACCCTACCTAAGTAGTCAGCATACTACTTAATCACCAAGACCTAGGTACTAGGCCTATTAGGGGGAGACCTAGTGTTACGGCTAGTGCTAGTGCTATGGCTAGCGCTTACGGCTGCAACCTCACATGATGGATAACATTGGATATCATGGATATTATGTTATCCATGTTATCCACAGCGATCCACAGAATGTCATGTGATGGATAAACATTGGATATCATGGATATTATGTTATCCATGTTATCCACGGGGATCCACGGAATATCAGGTGATGGATAACATTGGATATCATGGATATTATGTTATCCATGTTATCCACGGATATCCCTTTGGCACGACGCCACTATATAAGTAGATAGTATTTCCTTAGATAGGAGCTTTGTGGTCAACTCAATATAGTATTCTGTACAATACTGTAACGTGTTACTTGGAAAGCCTTTCTGTCTAATCCCCTGCCTCCTCTGTCAAGTCAACCTTACGCAAGAAACCTCTGTGTCTTCTATCGTTTAGAAGTCAGCGTTACAATAAGGGTGCGCAAGTGGTTAACACCACCACAGCGATGGTGCGCAGGTAGCGGGTAGCGAGCGCAGTCATACGGTGGATAGGATGGGCTGGGAAAGAGGGATAGGCAGAGACTTGGATTTAGGAGGACTTAGCAGGGGCGTTATACTGGTGGCATAAACACTGCACAGCAGAAGGGGCATGTTGGAACTACGTTCCTAGATGTACGCTGCACAGTGTAGCTTGTATACTGGCTATATGTATATATAGGGCTTCGCACCCATAGTTTACTCAATCAAGTCGTCAAACTCCAATTATGTGTTCAACAGACCAGCCTGATGACTGGAGCCTAAATAAATAAACAGATGAAATAGGGACTATGACTGTGTTAAACAGGGCATGGGGGATTATAGACTTTCTGTCCATTGCCGCCATTGTCTTTGAATATGGCCTGCTGCTCGTGAAATTTGGGATTATGAAATCTCAATAACTCAAGAATGAGTTTCAAAAGCTAAGGTGCTTCACGCGCGATGACCCTCCCCGACATTCCATGCCTCACCAATCCCACTCATAGTTTTAACCTCCACTGCTTCCATCCCCCACCCTCAGATCAACCAGCTCTCCCACTGTACATCCCACCATGCCCTCATGCACCATCCTCAGAGCAACCGCTTCGAATTCAAATCAAAGGTCCACTGCTAGCTCTTCAGAAGCTCCTTCCAGGGGTATCATGGCACGTCCCGCACGACTCCCTGAATTTCCGTTGCCCGGCGGCCCTGAGCTAGCGAAGCTGGCATTTCAGAAAATATACCACCGGGATATAGGGCCTGACATCGCTGGGGACATGGTAGTGCAGGATGAATACAAAGGTTGGTTGGTAAAGGCTAGACCGATAGTGTAGGTAATTATCTTACAAGCTTCTTCTCTCCAAGAGCCTATGCTGACACTTCCTTGTACTATAGCATGATTGATTACTATGGGGTTACATTCGACCACATTGTCCCGACCGACGACACCGATCCAGAAGTCCTGCAAATTAATATTGTTGAAATCGAAGATGATGGAGGCGTATATGCAAACAAGTATAGCCCTTTTGATATCGACCCGGCGGAATATATTGGGAAGAAAGTGCTTGCTGTGCCGAAGTGCTGTCAGAAAAGGAAGGGGACGACGGATCGGCAGAGGATTAATGATGCGGTGAATGCTAGGGATGGGAGGGTTGATGATACGATTTATAAGTGATATGCTAAGAGGGATGGGAAATGAAATGTGAATGGGATGGCAGTGAAATGGGTCGGAGTTTTGGGATTAGGCAGCGAATTGCTGTTCGCTCGGTTTCTTTTCTTGGGCCTCTGGTTGGTTGCAATTCATTTATTACTCTCTAGCTAATCGTCTTCTTCATCCACCTAAAACCTCTTCAAAAACCCCCCCAGCAACGTTTCGGGCCTTCCGATGCTGTCGGCATTTTCGCGTCGGTAACTTCGAATTCACAAGGCGATGCCCCGACGAAGGGAGGCGGTTCAAGAGGAGGGGGATGTGTCGCATGCCTGATAAGTCCTGCTGTCTCTATAGGTTGGCACACAGGTCTTAGGGATGGAACACCAGTCCCTTCTAGTCTCGGCTACTACATGACCACAACTGAAATGGTCCGTGTATATGGTACAGATCTTCGAAAATGTTTATTAGATGAGGTTTCAGGAGGGATTGAAAAATGACATTCGATGTGGAATTGGAAACCTGAAGATCAGAGATGGGTTTGCAAGCAGTTCCGTAACTTGTATGTGGGGGATCGGTTGATTTTTTGAGCTTGAATGGACAGTGAGGTGGTAAAAGATGAGGCAGATCGATTGCAGAAGTCACGAAGAGGAAGAAAGAGAGAATCATCGACTCCTTACATACTCGCATCTTTGCCCAACGTCTGCACCAGCCGCTTATAGCCTTGATTCAACAGTTGCATACATAGAGCCAACTCTGCTGCCTAAATTCACCGACGAAGCTCCCATAAAATTTGACTTTGCAATATGCGACTCGTTGAATCTGGTCGCGTTGACATATTTCGTGGCTGTTAAATGCGGCACCGCATTGGTCCATGTGATGGTGGTTGCAGTCCCATATCTATGGAATCAGTCACGAAAAGATCGTCCGTCCACGAGTGTAGGTCAAGCTGCGAAGCGTTTAATGTGTATACACGAGTACAGTCAAATGCTGCTAAGACGATGTTTGGTTAGCAGATATATTCAATTGTGCGATATATTTTCTCGCACCGAATCAAAACACCATATATTGTCCGATATTCAAGATAATCGTCATTCTGCCTCCAATTATCGTATTATCCATCAACCAATGTGTGTTTCTTGACCTTCAGAATGCCTCGAAAGCAGCCTATTCTACTCGAACAACGCCATGCCCTTCGTGCCTGGGCTCAGAAACAACATCAAAAGCCAACTCAAAAGCAGTGTATCGAATGGTTCCTCCAGCAATATAACCACAAACTTAGCCAGTCGACAGTCTCTGAGTCTCTCAGCCATCACTTTGACAGCCTTGACGAAGCTCAACAATGGGTGGTATATGGAGATGGAATAAGAAGGCTTGGATGAATACAACTATTATGGGCGAATGACTTGAGGCATTCATCACATATTGGCACTCGAGAAGTTCTATTTACAATGGATAACTTTACAGCACATGCTGCTGCTCTTGAGCTTTACCCCCCTCCTTCAAATATTCATATTTGTTGGCTACCAGCTAACAGTACCAGTCAATATCAGCTTCTTGATCAAGTGTCATACTGACATTCGTTGCACTCAGTTTGCTATCAAACTCAAGAGCAAACTTAGAAATCTCCTCCTCAAACCTACAAGTCAACATACATATCTTGGCTTATCACATCAACAACAGAAGCAATACTACTCAACGATTGCTGCAAACTCTTCTACTACATCTGTTTATGCTACATACATCACGGCATATCATTTGGACACTCATTGAACAAGTTATTAAGAAAATCTCCTCCTTAAGGGGGTGGGCCAATACTACCACATGGCATATCTCTACCAACTAGAGGCCTAGGAACCTGAACGATAGCTCTAGAAGCTTCTACAACCCTCTATGATTCATTACACGTCATCGCTCCTTAGTTACCCACAAGATTGGTTAAGTTATGACATAATTTGTCTATAGGTACTCTGACCTTGGACCTCCTTTTCACTTCCTATAGGCTAGGAACCCAAGAGATGGTTCTATGGGATTCTCTTACGTTCACTACATGATTAGCAAGCTAGTTGTGGGTCGCACTTGATTTCTAATACATTTACCAAGCCTGGTTAGTCATGGAAAGTCATGGAAAATGAGAGAACTACACTCCTTTGGCATAAATAGGATTGCCCTTTCCTTAAGAAAGGGCAAGCAGGCAATACAGTAAATCGACTAGCACATACTTCTACGTCTTTTCCAAGCTTCCAAGCATTGATCTTGTTATTCTCTGTTTTTGAAAAGTCAGTGAGGTGCTAACCTCTGACTTACCCCTGAGTTCTCAGACTCAACATTTGTTGCAACTTGTCTAAACCACTTCACCACATCATACACCTGATTGCTGCGTTGTGGAATAGTCTAAGCTACAACCCTTTGGCTCTGTTTCCTAAGACAGTGTGTTGTCTTAGTAAATTCATCCCTTCCTTGGGTGGCTAGATTCTCATATCTGGTGCACCCACCATTACATCAAGGTATCATTCAATCTTTCAAAGCTTATTATCGATGACAATGGCTTGAAGCCTTTGACAACAATCAAAATCCTATGGATACAATGAATCTACACTTAGCTATTCGATGGATTGTACGAAGCTGGAACAACTTGGTTACAAACACAACAATCTACAACTGCTTTCGAAAATCAACACTTATTTCAATGCCAATCTCTCTTCCTACAACTATTACCCCTCTTGGAATCGGAGAGCTCTATGACAAGGTAATTAGAGCTGGGAACATAAAGATGTCATGGCAATATCAAACTTTCTAAACCCGGAGGAAGAGAAGGATATACAAGATGGGATGGAGGAATTGGGACCAGAAGAGGTTTTAAGTGAGGTCTTAGAGGAGCATCTAGGCCAAGGCAGTACCCAAGATGATGACGAAGAGCAGGAGCCGCTAGAGCAGCCTGTATTTACTATACAGAGTGCTCGTCAAGCTCTACAAGTTCTGATTGGGTTTGCTGAAGGTCAAGATGCTCTCAAGGCAGAGCATTTACAAGGGTTGGAGCAGTGTTCCCCAAATAGTATTCTAATAGTATTCGGGGTTTTCCCGAATACTCGCTATCTGGGAGTATTCGGCGAATACTCATACAAATCCTCGCCGAATAGTATTTGAGTATTTTGAGGCTCAACTGTAGTATATAGTAATAAAATATGATAACTGTCTACTTGCTATTATCCTCCTCCTTGTCGCCTATATCCACCTAAGAAGCTGTGGAACTTCAATCGGATGCGTCCTCGAGGAAAACGACGAGGCCTAGGAGAAGGCTCCTTCCTAGGTCTACGCAAATGTAACCTGCGAGGACTAGACTTACGAGAACTCCTGGGAGGCACCTAGTTTTAGTCAACATGACCCTGAGTATGACTGGACTCGGGGTGCAAACAAAGTTCCTAGCAGACACAGGAGCAAATGGCTACCTCGTCATTTAAGAGCCTTTCGCAATACGACTGTCGAAAGCGCTTCAGAGCCCCATACGGAAACTACCCTACTCTGTACCCATACGTGGATTTCAGCGCAAAATCCAAGGCCATGTATCAGAGTATATTCGGTTACACTTAACAGTTGTAGGATGCTGAATATATAACTGCCCCTTTGTACTCCTGGAGCTCGGAGCACAAGATGTGATAATTGGGAAGAAGCTTTTCAGCCGCTTCCGAATACTACTCGACTCTGCAAAGAGCCAGTTAGTATGGCCAAAGGAGTACCCGCCGACTCCTAGCTGGAGCAAGGAAATCACCTTGCCCTACCACTAACGCGAAACGTCCATTAAACATCCTGCATACCAGTCGGATGCGAATCGCCGGGATTTCGCAATCCACCGCGAAGACAGACGCCGCGCAGGCGGACGCTCGATGGAAATGAAAGTGATAATTTCCGACTACAAAGAGATCAACGATACGCCATCGAACCCACTATGAAACCAGGAGGTTTCTCCCCCACCGCAGAAAACCCTAGTACATAGGTTTACGCCCATGCATATCTGCGAAATCAGTGCAAATGCTTTCCACCACAAGATGATGCGAAGCGACTCCGAGTTTTTTCAGACTAGCATCTACAGTACTACACCACTGCTATTAACCGAATTCCAATTTGACGTGTAAATCACGTCACGTAACCGACCCCTCCTTGTACAACAACCATAATTATGCCACCAACTCGGAGGGCTTTGGCTCCAATTGATGGGAATCGACAGCCTGGTGGCCAAAGTACCGTACAATATACAATTGCAGTTGACTCAATACGCACCGAAGGCAAAAGCCTACAGCATGGGGAAAGTCATATACAGAAGCAGAGCAACGCCTTATACTCCGCCATGTACGCCTAAACCCAAAGGATACATACCAAGAAGTAAAGGATGCTTGTAATGTTGCTTGCTCAACATCAACTATAAAGAGGATACTACAAGAAGCAGGCATAGGCAATTGGCGTGCAAAGTGTCGCCCTTTCCTACTGCCAATACATGCAGCTAAACAGCTTGCATGGTGTTTAGCATGGAGGAATTGGACAGCAGAGGATTGGGGTCAAGTTGTGTGGAGTGATGAGTGCTCTGTTGAGCGGGGGCGGGGTAACAGGAGCGAGTGGTGTTTCCGCACACCTGCTCAGAAGTGGCAGCGGGAGATGATCCAAACCTACAGTACAAAGAAGAACATGAAGATCATGGTTTGGGGGGCCTTTTTGGCAGAAGGCCAGAGCAATTTATACCTTATGGACCGTGACTTTGACTCAAAGAACTTTGGATATACTGCAAACTCATACCTTAAGGTTCTAGAAGCAGAACTCCTGCCTATTTTTGAGAGTCTTGACTCTAGCTACTCATTTATGCAAGATAATGCTCCTATCCATACTGCGGGTATGGTTACAGACTTTCTTGAGGAGCATATGATTACTACACTCTATGGGTGGCTGCCCTATTCACCCGACCTCAACCCAATTGAGCACATTTGGTGGCACTTGAAAATCCGGGTGTGTGAGATGTTCCCTGAAATTGCAAAGGATAAATCAAACTCAGAACATGCAAGACAGCATCTAGAATCATGTTTGCAAGCAGCATGGGACACATTAGACAAGTCATTGTTTGATAAATTGTATAAGAGTATGCCGAGTAGAATTGAGGCGTGCATTCAAGCAGACGGGTGGCATACAAAATACTAGAATACTCATTTTTTATACTATATACTATACGAGCATATTTTGTATAGCTTTCAATTCTAATTACAATGGATCAATTTTTACATCTATCTGTTACCATATCAAGTGCGCCTTGCAGCTCGAGTGGGGGTTCAGGGGTGTGGGGAGCTTTCCGGGGTTGGAGCGAAGTTTTCAGTTGTGGAGTGAATTCTCAGAACTAGTCTCGCTAAAGAGAATTCACTCCACAACAACATAGCTGTATATAGATCGAGCCACTGCTCGAGTGCTCCTCTTCTCTTTCCTTTCTTCTCTAGATTGAGTTTAATTCATAATACCCAACTGGCGCCCTATGCCTTGTGTTACGACGGAACAAGAAGGCTGGCCAACTACAGGACAGGAAGGAGGGAGGTCGCATGAGACCGGCCCTGGTACCTGGAGGGGCAGCGGGGAATAGTAGTTCCGAAAGTATCACGTGACGGACTCGCAGGATGATGAGGAGAATCCTAAGAGTCCAGGACTCCGAGGACTCGAGTGAGTTCCCAGGAGTCCACTAGGCACGACGCCACTATATAAGTAGATAGTATTTCCTTAGATAGGAGCTTCGTGCTCAACTCAATACAGTATTTGTTACATACTAGTAACGTGTTACTTGAAGCCTTTGTGTCTGATCCCCTGCCTCCTCTGATAAGTAAACCTTTACGCAAGAGAACCTCTGTGTCTTCTATTGTTTAGAAGTCAGCGTTACACCTTGGTGAACCGTGACATAAAACTCAATCTCTCTTATACCTCTTTTCCTGCTCTTTGAGCTGAACCCTCTTCTGAAATCGAAATCGAAATCCACTCTTTGAAAACCCCAGAACCAGAAACCTTATCCTGAAGTGGATTCCAGGACGATCTCGAGGCAACCCCTCAAAGTTGGCTTTCGACAGTCAGCTCGACACATACACACCACCTTCGCAAGTCAGACCTTTCACAACGCTCCCTCGACAAGGATATAAGTGTGAGGGAAGTGCGCTCCTCTCGAGTGGCTCCTACGGCCAACAACTGCACAATAGGGCCTTTGGCAATATGTGTCTGACTTGACGATATAAACCGAAATTGAAATAGCAACTCGCTATGGCTTATACAGCTGAAGAAAAAGCTGCAATGGCAGCTCGAAATAATCCAGAACAAGACGCAGAAGCTGTATCGACCACCACATCAAGATCCAGCAAAAGAAATGCTCATGAAACTTGGGAAATGCTTCATATGCCGACAAAATGGACATCGAGCTCGAGACTGTCCCCAGAAGCTCAAAGCTCAAGTGAATGAGGTATCTACAGCTGAGTCTATCATCGATTCGGAAAACGAATAGCCTCTAGACAAGTCATCACTAGAGGCAGTGCAGCCAGAATTGCAGCTTCTTCCTCGAGATCCAGTTTTGATCCGGACACCCCTTTCTTAGCTACTTGTAGAATAGGAAAATACAAAGCTATTGTCCATGCATTGATCGATACTGGTGCCACAGGTGGAAACTTTATTAATGCTGCTGATGCAGAAAGAATATGTGAAATTAAAGGGATAGCCCCAGTCGAACTTGTGAAGCCAAAACAAGTTGAAGGATTCAATGGAGAGGCTGCCCCTGCTATCACACATGCTATATATCCTCGACTACAAGTGGGAGAGCATGTGGAAAGCCTATGTCCATTATTCATCACTTCGCTGGGAAAACATTCCATCATTCTCGGGAAAGCTTGGATGAAGCAACATGGAGTTGTTCTCGACATGATCAATGATCAAGTCCTCTTCACTGGAGATTATTGCAACCATTCTATACCAGATCGAGCCCTAGAAACAGAGCCTATATCTAAAAGCGAAAGACAAAGGCCAAAGAAGAAAGCCAAAGAAATGCCTCCTCCGGAACCTGCTCTGAAAGTGGAAAAACCAAAACCTTGCACCATAGCAATGATTGGCGCAGCACCATTTCGAATGCTCATGAAGACAAAAAGGAGCTCAAGTCTTTGCTATATCAATGAAGGACATAATCGAGCACAAGAACAAGACCAAAACTGAAGAAATTGACTCTCGACTGATCCTTCCGAAGGAATTTCATGAATTTTTGGATGTTTTTTCAAAATGGCAGCAGACAAGCTACCTCCCCATCGACCTTCAGACCATCATATTGAACTCGAAGGTGATGCAAAGCTGGGATATGCACCACTCTGGAATATGTCAAAGGAAGAACTTGATTTGGTCGAAGAATATGTCTTCGAGCACTTGCCAAAAGGGTTCATTGAAGCAAGCAAAGCCCCATACTCTTCACCCATTATGTTTGTGAGAAAGCCAGGTGGTGGTCTTCGATTCTGTGTTGACTACAGGAAGCTAAATGCCATAACGAAAAAGGATCGATATCCCATACCACTCATTGATGAAACGCTGGCCCAAGTCATAGGAGCAAAATATCTCACCAAACTGGACATTCGACATGCCTTCAATCGAATTCGAATGCAGACAGAAGAAGATGAAGACCTCACTACATTCAGAACTCGATTTGGATCCTACAAATACAAGGTCATGCCCTTCGGACTCACAAATGGTCCAGCAACATTCCAGAGGTACATGAATGAAACCCTCATGGATTACCTCAACCAATTCGTCACCGCATACATGGATGACATTCTTATCTACAGTACTACTCGAGCGGAGCATACAGAGCACATAAGGAAAGTCCTACAGAAGCTTCGAGAAGCTGGACTGCAAGCAGATATCTCAAAATGTGAGTTTTTCGTCCAAGAAACCAAATTCCTAGGACTCATCGTGGGAGTCAATGGCATTCGCATGGACCCTGCAAAGGTTTCTACTATATTGGAATGGCGAACTCCAAAATCGCTCAGGGATATACAAGCTTTCATTGGATTCTGCAATTTCTATCGAAGGTTCATCCGAAATTACTCCAGCATCATGAGGCCATTGGTGAACCTTACCAGAAGGATCAGATATTCGAATGGACTCATGAATGCCAAACTGCATTCGAGCTGTTGAAACAAACAGTCACAGAAGCTCCTGTCTTGAGGCATTTCGATAGAAACAAGACAGCCTATGTCGAAGCAGATTCCTCAACTTCATCTCATCAGGAGTTTGTCACAAAAAGATGATCAAGGGGTTCTACATCCAGTTGCATACTTCTCGAAAAAGCTAGCACCTGCAGAATGCAATTACGAGATATATGACAAGGAATTGCTTGCAATCATCAGATGTTTCGAAGCATGGAGACCAGAACTTGAAGGGACAGATTTTCCAGTCCAAGTCTTGTCTGATCACAAAAGCTTGGAATACTTCATGTCCACCAAGAAGCTGACAGAAGATAAGCTCGATGGGCTGAATTCCTCTCTCGATACAACTTCCAGATCATCTATAGGCCTGGGAAGCAAAATGGAAAAGCAGATGCTTTGACTCGAAGGCCTGGTGACAGACCAGAAGGCAATGATGAGGATGATCGACAAAGCAACAGCTTCAGGTGTTGCTACCACCTTCGAGGCTACATCCAGACATTCAGAAACTCAAAGAACAAGGCCAAACAGCTCAGCTAGCTCCAGTGGAAACTCATATCAGAGAAATGACAATTCTTGAGAAAATCCAAAAGTCTCAACTGGAGAAAATTCTGCAAGTACACTACAGAAGCTTGAGAATGGTGATCGAACAGCAAAGAGGTTGCATTGGCTTATTGCGAACTCAAAAACGGCATGCTAGAATATCAAAATCGAGTTTGGGTGCCAGAAACCATTCAGGTGGACTTGTTGAGAGAAGTTCA